CCTCTTGGCTTCTCTTTGTGGTGAAACATGCGGCCCTTTCCCCTTCGTCTCGTTGGCCAGAGCGGTACATGACTGGATTGATGTGTGAAGAGTGACTACATCCCTCACGCCGCTGCCCAGGCATGCGAAACGTAGGCACCTCCTTCCTTTCTCTCTCCCCCTGTCCTAGCATAATCCTGACTATCTCGTGCAAATGCTAATTACTATAAATTTCAGAAGCGTGACTAAATCGCTCTCTAATCTAAACTTGGGGGAGTTAGCCCGGTCGAGAGGATCGGCTAACGAGTGTGAGCATGCAAAAAGGTGAGTCCGAAGTTGGGCGATCCGACGAGCTTGTGGCGAATGCGCGGGGTTGACGTGTGGTCGCGACGGACTGTGGCACACGGGGCTAGCAGCCCTTCCTAACCTACAGCCCGAGATGATGAACTATATTTGTTAAAGCACCAGTACATTGGCACCTGGGCCGGGGGCCTGACACCTCAAATTCTGTAGGCTCGAAACGAAACCGCGACCGCCGATCTAATTTATCAATGGCAGGCGTTTTCTTGTGGCGACAAGTTTCGGACTGCAAGGCTGGGGCCATGTACTGGTGGCTTAAACCACCAGTACTTGGCCCAGCTATCGGTCGCGCCGCGCCTTTAGGGCTTCAGGGTACCGGGCCACAATGGCTGGAAGCGCCAGCCAAAAAAAAAAAAAAAAACGGTACCTTGACGTTTCGGCAAAAATTAATGCGCAGGGGCATTCTAGGCTCGACATCGATAGTTGGGTCAAGTACTGCTGGTTTAAACAGGGAGCTTCGGGCCAGAGACAAGTAAAATGATCATTAGGGGCCTTCTACTATGGGGAACACAACAAGGATGGCTGCCCACTTGAAGGCCTTTTTATCTCCCCYCCCCCCCCCGCCCCCCCCTCCCTCTCCCCCCCCGCCCAGATCCCCAAGATGAAAATGTTGTGCTTGGTTTCCCTTTACCACTAAGAAAAAAGATAAAATTAAGCCCCTAAAACTTCAAATTATGTCTGGGCAATTCCAAATGTATAAAGCCGTTTGTTTTTTTTTATAGAAAATTGCTCCAATTTATTTGTGGGGAACATCACGTGCTGGGAACCGGGCCCAACGTCCCTTATAATGGGAATACATTGATGATTGACAATTGATGATAATTTATGATAATTTGGGATGACGGAGGATCATTTAGGATGATTTAGGATGTTAGAGTGGATGATTGAGGTCATGAAATAGAGCTAGATGATAACTAATCAGAATGATTGTCTACTCAGCACTCAAATACTATCCTATCCCTAATTTCCTATATCCATTTCAACCAACCAATCAACAATTGAGCCCGTGTTGTGCACCAATCGGGCTTTTGCCCGGTCTCACACCCCAATCTGGCTCGGTTACAGGGCAACGCTACCCACCCCAGCTCCGACCATCGTTCAAGTTGGCCAGATTGTAGCCATTAGTCAAGTTTGCAGATTGCCTTCCTCCCTCGCCAATCCCACACCTCTATACAACGCCTCAAGCTCCTACTCAAGCAGGTTATAGGGCACTGCCCCAGCGCCGGCTAGCGTCGTTCTGGCACCAACTCGACCTGGCTATTACACAAAAAGACTCAATTAGGAAATTAGCTAATCTAGAATGCCAACTATAAATCTAGGATCTGATAATATCCAAGTCTTGATCAACAAAACTTTATGATGATGAAATTTGACGAGTACCCTGAGATGATCACAAAGATGATGGATAATGATGACGATGTTGATGATTATGGTTCCTCTCCACCCCTCCCCTTCTTTCATGTACTCTCCTCCTCTCCCCATTTCCTTTTCTCCTCTCGCTGCCTCCGCTGAGCCGAACCTTGCTATCAGCATGAAGTTCCTATCAGCTCCAACGAGAGAGAGAACCTCCCCATTCGCTTCTACCTTGAGGTAACCAGTTCCCCCAAAAGGTGTACCTCAAAACTAACACTCTGACCTAGTATGCCTCCGCCAGGAGATAATGCGCCCCCATATATATCTCCCAGCCCCAACCCAAGTCAGCTCCCATCATTTGTGTCTACTCCCTGGAGGGCAATCACCTCCCACGTTGTGTTACCCCTGCAGAGTAGCGCTCCCTTCCTGACCAACCTACCTACCAACTAGACCATAACCTATCTGGCGAAGAGAATACAACCACCAAAACAGAGATAACTACTGATTGATGAAAAATCAGAAAAAATGAATAAAGAAACCGTGATGATGATGATGATGATGATAAAGATTCAGATTAGGAGATGATGATGATGATGATGATGATGATGAAATAAAATTGGCGAAAATAAGTAAGGAACATCTGACTTGCGATGCCCTAATGGCATCGATGTTGGAAGATTGACAGCTCACTATTGTTGTAATGAAAATAGAAGATGACAATGATTACGATTTTGACATAGAAGTCCGAATGATGATCATGAAGAAGATAAGAAAGGGAAATGGTGAGGATGATAACCGTCAACAGTGAAATGCAGATGGCGACCAGCAGCAAAAAAAAATACGCGGGTGACACGAATGACAAGCAACTTTGATGTGTGAAGACAACCAGTGGCAATGCCGATGATAAACCAATGCTTCAGATGAAAAAAACTGCACACGAAAAACAACAACAAAGAACACAAGACTGAAGAAAAGCTCCCTTGATGATGATCTCGCCGACTAGAAATGTTTTTACTCTATTTTTCCCTCCGCTGCAGTATTGAAAGTCAGGTGCATAGTCTGCGCATGGATGGGTCCTGCATCTGGGCTCACCCTGACAGTGCCAGTAATGCAATTTCAATTTTTCTGCAGGGTACTGGTAGCATGGTAGCGCCGGATTTATTATTATTATCATTATTATTATTATTATTATTATTATTATTATTATTATTATTATTATTATTATTATTATTTTAAACAATCCGCCTGCGTCAACAGCTAGGAGTGATGGTAAGAGCATACACTCCTACCTATCTTACAGGGGGCTCCAATCTATTGGTGGGGGTAGCGCCGGATATTGGTCCCGTGCCCATAAGAAATATGACAGTTATCCCGCACGCACCTGCCAGCTACCCGAGAGGCCCATGAAAAGCCTCCGCCTACAAGACCAAAATGGCTTACAGCACCTGGTAGCCCATATCCACAACGATTCATAATTATGTGAGGGGTGGGCAAAAATGTTCATAGAAAAAAAAAAAAAAAAAAAGTTCATAGAAAAAAAGAATCGCAGATACTACTGTCTTTCCGCGATTCTGAATGCATACAAGCCATCTTTCCGGTTAAATGCAGTCATAATGAGGATGCGTTGTGTTCGGCGGTGGAAGATGGTAGTGGTTTAAAACCACTGGTACCTCACCCCACTATTTCACCCCCGTTAAATGCAGTCATAATGAGGATGCCGTGAATTTCGGGGATTACGTTACCGGAGCAAAATGGCTGGCACCAGTGGCCAAAAGAAGGTGAGTGCCACTTCGTTTTTTTTGGGTGTGCAGGCATTTCCAGGGTCGGGAAAATGTTGGGCAAAGGTACCGGTGGTTTAATGCGCTGGCAAGCATCAAGACAACCCTCTCAAATGAGCTCAGCTGGAGAATAGGCCTGCACGGGTCGCATTTTTTTTTTTTTTTTTTTTTTTTTTTCAGGTCGGAAATATGGACTAAAGAGAGGTGGAAAGGGGAAACTACATGGGAGTCGCCAAAACGAGTTATAATTGCACTAGGGGCCAAGATACAGTTTTGAATTGCAGTTCGGGCAGTGTATACAACCCAGCTTTCTGGCCAGGTAGGGTGCCGGGAGTGCAATTGCAAACTGTATCTTGCCCCCTAGTGCAACTATAACTCTCGTTTATGACTCTACTGAAGTTAGTTACCCCTTTTCTTTTCCTTTTTTAAACCCCTCTACGTTTCCCAGCCAAGGAATAAAATATGTGGCTTGCATGCAGCCGCAACTTTCCGGGCTCGGCCTCCGGGGCAAAATGGCTGGAGCGCCAGCCAAAAGGAGGCCTGCCCCCGAGGAATGCGCCTTTTTTTGGGTGTGCAGGGAATTTCCAGCCCCGGAGGAACGTGCCTCGGAAGCATCGGAGGGGACCAACTATTGGAGGCGACGAGATGATCTGGACTCTTTTTTTTTTTTTGAAAAGCCCAGGTTGTTGTAGAGGTGGGATACTAGACGGATGGCAGTCACCCACAGTACTCGGCCACTATTGTTATGGAAAGAAGAACGATGCGTAAGTCAGCTGAGGGTGGTAAGCCCTCCTCAAAAGGAGCGATCAATGACTTGACAATGTGACCCTGGAGAATCGCCACCGATAAGGGAGGGGGGGGGGGGGATGGAGAGTGAGCTAGCATGACGTGCTCCCCATCAGTCAGTCCGAAATACGCATCAAGAGGCTCACTGCAGATGGGGATGCAGCAGGGTGTTGTAGAGGCCAAGACCAGACCTGCGGTGATTGCTGGCTGCTAGCCTTTAATGGCGTGTGCACTGTTCTCAGCTTTTCATTGCAATGGGACGCTGCTCCTGTTTCCCGTCAGGTTTCAGCTCGCCGCTAATAAATGGACCAAAATTGTACTGAGAAAAAAAGAAAAAAGAAAAGGCAGTGAGAAAAGAACATCTGGGCTCTCCCAGCTAGACAGCTGAGAATCCATAGTCAAGATCCTAATCCAGGAAGAGCAAGAGAATAGGGGACAGTGACAGATCATGTACAGTCGTCAGTGAGAGACTAGGGCCAGCCCAACACTCTGACAACTGCTCTCTCTCTCTCTGAGACTCTCTCTCTCTCTCTCTCTCTCTCTCTCTCTCTCTCTCTCTCTCTCCTGTCTCTTATACACATCTAGATGTGTATAAGAGACAGACTTACCACTCGTGAGGAAGAAAAGAAAAGAAAAGAAAAAAACGAATGAAAAAAATAATAAAAAAACAAAAAAAAAAAAAAAAAAAAAAAAAAAAAAAAACGAAAAAGAAAAACGGAGAAAAAGTTCCCGCTCGTTAAATACCTGCAGTAGGCAGTCGTGTCCATCACGCGCTTGTACGGCCCCACCATCGTCACGGGAGAGAGGTCCCGCCTTTTCTACCTTTGTTGATGATGTCAACGTTTATTTGACCTCACACGTCAGCAGCAGAAGCGCCACGTGTCCCGCCGCTGTAATGTCAAGGATGAAGATGATGAAGATGGCAGCAGTTCTTTTTTTTTTAAGGGGGAGGTGAGGGGGTGAGGGGGGGCGGGGGGGTTACCGGGGGAAAGAACAAGTGCAATAACGATGGCGATGGCGATAATAAAAATGACGGTGAAGGTGCTAGTATCAATGAATAGACCACCTTCTTCCACCCTCGTGCTTTATTTTTCCCTATTTGTGAACACGGTGGAGCCGCCACGTGTCACATTCTCTTTTGTCTGACGATGGCGACTTTTATCGCAATCATTGCAATCAATGCACTTTGCCCTCCAATCTATCTTCTACCTCGAAAGACATCCAATAAATATCAAGTTGTAGACAAATAGAACTCAAATACTCTCTCTCTCTCTCTCTCTCTCTCTCTCTCTCTCTCTCTCTCTCTCTCTC